AGAATTCCCCAGCCAGCCTTGCTGGCTAGGGAATTCTGGGACTTGAAGTCCACACATCTTAAAGTCGCCAAGGTTGAGCAACACTGTCTTAATTTATAATTCCACAAAGATTAAAGCCTTCATTTAACGGACTAATTGGCAAGAAGAGCGCCTGTTATTTTCAACCGTCTGTTAAAAACAAAATGCATCATTTGCATCAATGGACATCCTTGGTGTAAAATGCCATAATTTGACACAAACGATGGACTTGACATCATTTACACAATGAAGTGGTTATGCAAAGGCCATAAACCACCGCAGATGTCATAAAACGATGGTAAAATTAAGATAAACTCAACTGCCTCAGCCAGACTCCTCTGGATGCAAGAAACACGTTCATTATTTTGGGGGGTTCGTGGATGGAAACATGATCCGATGCATTTAGGTCTGATAAAGTGGAGACCTGTTCAATTGAGGCCTCACTGTATTATGAGAACTAAATCCAGAAATTAATGCAGTCACCCAGGGAGTCCAAAAAAAGTCAACATGGCGACTGCAACGGTATGATTAAGCTCCCCCTGATTTTATGTGCATTGCACACGTGATACACATAAAAAACAGGTGGAGCTTCAATTGCACTGTCAAGGCCTCCATCTTGACTTTTTTGACCATACTCCTACAAGGACCAGTTTAAGAACGTTGTGTGAATGCAGCCCCCGTTCGTCAACTGGGGCCTCTCCATAACAGAGCCCATGGAAAAGAGGATCAGCAGGGTCAAGATGGGGACATTTCCGTCAAGGCAGGACCTTAACAAGGGGGAAAATCAAAATTTACAGGAAGAGGGGAGATGGGGGAAATGGCAGTGCCGGTGCACGAGATCTTGGGTGCTGGAAAAAAAATATTAAGGATCGCTTTTTAGTCATCAGAAGGAGGATGTGTTCAGACTTGCTGGCCCCGTTAGGATGCAGCCATTAAAGAGGTCCTTAGTAATTATTTCCTTAAGGAGCATGGCTGATGAGGAAGAGTCTTTTATATGATCTTCCAAAAGCAAGCTCTGGGATATTGCTAACAGGATATAATTATTGTAGAGGATATTAACCTAAACCCAGAAAAACGTCAGGTGTTGAATCCAGACAGACGGAGGCTTCAAATGCTGGAAACCTTCCTCAACTCAACGCTTTCACAGCCACCTCTTCTCAAAGCCAGCCACGGCGGTTAATTTCTCCCTTGTCCGGGAGGCTGTTTCTCCCCACCCTTCCTTCCCCTTTGAGAGTGGCAGAGTGGGGGCCAATGACATCCCACGGGAGGGCAGATTTTGCCCTGGGAACGCAGTTGCTGACCTCCAGAGGGCACAACTCAGAACTGGGGGGAAGAGGTGCCCTTAAAAGAACTTCAGGCAGTCTTGGCATTAACCCCCACCTCCCAATTTTGAAAACTAGAAATGTAATCCCAGAGCTGGGAAACGGAGCTGCTGCAGAGCAACGTTTCATAGCAGAATGGACGAGAGCTGTCCTGCGCTGCATCCGATGGGAATAATCTGTTTTTCTCGCACTGCTGGTCAAGCGCATTATCAGGCCCTCTGGGTTCCAATAATGGAGAATCAGGGAGAAACCATGCCCTAATCAGGGAACCCTCAAGGAGGAAATCAGACACCCATCAGGACTGGCAGGGCAAGCCACCAGACAGAAGCAGCCAGCAAACTCCACTCCCCACTGCACTGATGAAGTCACCTAGCCTGGGGACAAAACGTCTCCAGTAGAAGAGACTCTCTGTAGCTCAGGGTCCTTGGTGCTCTCTGAGCTTGGTGGTTTGCTTTGCAGACATCTCGTTACCCAACTAGGTAACTCGGCTACTATATATAAACTCGGAGCAAACCCCACCCTCCCTAACGCTGATGATGTTACCTAGCAAGGTAACGAAACATCTGCAAGAAAACAACCAAGCTCAGAGAGCACCAAGGACTCCACAGTTCGACGCTGAGCCTCAGAGATTCTCTTCTATTGGAACATTATCAGTGCGAGGGAGGGTGGGGTTTGCTCCCTGTTTATATACAGTCGCTTGCCCTGCCAGTTTTGGTGGGAGCGTCTCAAGCATAGTTTCAGCTGGGAAACTGCAAGTGTCCTAGACCAAGCTAAGTCCAAAAATGCTGGGGAATTCCTGGAAGCCTGGCATTCAGACAAATCAGCCATCAATAGACACGTAGAGATAAACAACATCTACACACCATTCAAAGGAGACAAAGAAAAGGAAACAAAAAGACCAGAACACCTCCTTGCCAGCAGCCAACAGCCAGATAAGCAGGGATTAACCCCAGACAAACAATCAGGCAGAAAACAATACCCTAATCGAGGAACTGCCAAGGAGAAACCCACACCCCCACCAACTCTGGCAGGGCAAGCTACTGTATATAAACAGGGAGAAAACCCCACTCCCCCGCAGCACTGACGATGATGTTACCTGGTTGGGAATGAAATGTCTGCAAGCAGTCAACTAAGCTCAGAGAGCACCTACGACCCAGCAGGATTCTGGATTCCCCAACAACACCGAATATAAAAAGAATATACTTATAATTTAAATGTACAGTTAACAAAGCCACAGAGTAGTTATAGAAAGCAAAATAAAGACCCCCCCAAAAAAAATCTACCATAGATTCAGGTATTCCAACACCTCGTCCTGTTTCAGCGCTGCTATGACCACGTTCATGTCATTCTATTACATCAAATTTTTGCTCTAATGTAATAAGGAGCCTCTTCTTTTTGAAACTGGTACTGTTTTCCTCTGATGGGATCTTCCTTTTCTCCATTTTGCACCCACGGAGATGAGCAGCGTCTAAAACCATAATGGCAACCATGCACGCGCCAGCCTCGCATTAGCTGAATTTGGGGTCACCTTGAACGTGCCCTGGTATCAATTTACCACGCGCCCTAAACTGAATATCACAGTATTCGAATGTGCACTCACCGCGACCAACCTGTATAGCGTTCTGCCTATCTAGCTAGCTAGCTATTGATCTAAAACTGTAGTACTGAGCGGTCTAAGGCTCTTAAACAAACAATCGTAGACCACGCAGAGCTTTGATCCCACTTGCACTGTATTTTCACCGTACCCTGCAGACACCCTTGTCCTAGTCTCTTTTCACACAACATATTTCACCGTGTTATTGAAGACCTTGCGGCTGCATTTTCCCAAGACACAAAGCCGGGTTACTGTAACCATGGTTACTTTTCTGCAGCTTCGCATATTTTACCAGGCAGCTCTCTTTGTTAGTTTATAATTCAGTGTATTGTGCAAATATTGTGCAGAAAAGGGGCACAGGAAGTCATCTGTTTCGGCACATTGTGCAAAACCAGCCACAGAGTTGGAAGGAGCCCTTAAGACGGTGTTTCTCAACCTTCATGGCTGGCTGGGGACTTCTGGGAGTTGAAGTCCACACATCTTAAAGTGGCCAAGTTGAGAAATGCTGGTCTACAAGAAGAGGCTTCCTGCTTCTGGGAATTCAACTCTTTACCCTCTTTGACTTTTTGGCCGCTACGTCATACCAAGCTGAAAGTCAACATGGGGGTTCCATGTTGTTCCTGTTGGTGGTTGAAAGCCACCCTCCGTTGGAAATCTGCTGGATCCCTTCCCTTCCCTTCCCTCCCCTCTGATGAGTCACGGCGCCTCACCTGTCCAAGGACCTCTCTGGAAAAGTGAAGGGGCCTGTGCAGATCTGCTCGATGTAGCTCAGAGGGATCCTCTGGATCTCCAGGCACTTGAGCATGATGAAGTCATATTTGCAGACCAGGAGGGCAGTGTCTGTGATCACCACAATCCGCTCCTTCTCGATGTTCCAGTGATCTATCCTGGGATAAAGTACAGAAAGGGCAAAATAACACCGATGACCAGGTGCACTTCCAGCCCCCAAGTCTCTGCCCAGGGAGATCCCAGTTTAGTACACTCCATGCCAAGGGCCGTGAACAACGATGCCTGGATTTTTCCCCCCGCAAAACGCTGGGAATCCACATTCTTCATTATTTTGGAGACAGGGAGCGCAATTGAAAATGAGCCAGCAGTCCTCTCTGTGTCCTCCAGGTGGCAGTACAGGAAAGGAAATCTCAGCTCTCCCCTCTACAGATTCCCCGAAACTTTATTAAGGAAATTCTATCTTGTTATATATAAGAGTGTTTGAGCTTGGGGGCATTTACAATTAAATAATTTGCAGAGTAAGCAAAATTGACAAAGCACTGTTTTCGGCCCTTCAGATACAGCCCCTATAAAAGGCAAATGTTCAAATTAAATTCGAAGCAGTAACCTTCTGAGCGTACGAAGGTTTTAGGGCCAAGAGGGATTCTGATTGTGATACAACCCACGGTTCTATTCATCAAAGCAGGAAAAAAAAAATCCCCAAAGAACACAGAATCCAATTTTAGGGTAGGAGAGAATCAGGGAAGATACCCATTAAAAGGAATGCAGGAAGAAGTACTGTACTGTAAAGCAGGCATTAAATTAATCATCCATTTCTTCCAAACCCAAGTGATTTACGTGCTAAACAAAACATGTGTGTGTGTCTGTCTGTGCGATCCAGATGGGGTAGCATTCCCACAATACGCTTAACCCGCTTGCCAAATTAACCTATTTCCTTGGTTTGCAGAATAGACTGTAATGCTATGCATTTGTAATTACTTGTTGTCATGCAAGTTTTGTTATTTTGGCATTACTGGGATAGGTTTAGCGTGAACAACCCCCCGGCTGCAGGGAAGCCCAAACAACCACAGACTTCCGTGGTGCTTACTCAGTGAGCAGCCAGAAGCTGTGAGCCGTCTCGCCCTTGTTTGCCACCAGGTGGGCCTTGAGGTCCTCCATGGCTTGATCGAAGGCTCCTGGCTAAAAGGAAGAGGAGAGGAACATGAAAAGGAGGAAGAGGAAGATGGCCAAAGCAACAAGCTGGTTTTGGATTCCCCCTGTGCTCCCTCATCTCTCCCTCCAGGCTCCTCTGGTTCCAACCCACCTCTCTCACCTGCCATGGAGGAGCAAACACCACCGAGAAGCAAACCTGAGTCTCCAGGTTTCCGTGGCTGGGTGAAGCCGGCGTGTCTCCCACTGATTAGGAGCAAGGCCCGGTGCCCTTTGTGGCAGCCCTGCTCCTTTCAGACCGATTGTGAGAAGAGGTAAAGCAAGCAGCAAATTAATCGTGGTGCGGGTTGGATATTACTCCAGATCCAATTCATTCACAGGCTAAACAAGGCGTCTGTGTAGATCTGTGACATTGGGATGGTGGTAGCGTTCGCACAACATGCTGGGCCCCCTTGAAAAAGTCATCTCTGTCCTTGGCTTGCAGAATACCGTCTACCACAAAGGAACTGCTCCCCCTTGAGTTTGCCCAACAGGCTCAACCCTGCTCGTTTTAGATTGACTTTGCTCCAAAATGACAGTTTTACTACTGAGTCTCCTTCAAGTCAGGCTTGACTCTGGTGGCTCCACGGATGGGTCAACAACGTGGAAGGAACATGGACGTGGGTTGCCTTCACCTTTCTAGCGTGATCTTTCAACTTCCCGCTCTGGCCTATGGCTCCAACACGTCCTGGGGGTCTCCCATCCTGTGTTAATCAGGTCCAGCCTTGCTAACATGTTCATGATCAGCCAAAGTCATCGGGGTCCTGCCACCTGCTGGGTTAGTGTAAGTTCTCCTCTGAGTTTGATTCCTGCACCTCATGCAGTTTTCTCGGCAATAATCTGGAAACGGGCTGTTTCTGCCTTTTTCTTCATCCAGGCTACCACTCTGGGACTTTCTGGTGGTCTCCCATCCAACTTTGTTCAGGTTTGTAGATCAGCCAAGCTCAGCTAGGTAGGCTAAGGTGTATTCTTACCACAAGGAAAGCAGGATGGCATAGTCAATGGGGGAAGACTGTAGGTAGAGGCAAGGGATCTCCTCCGTTGGTGGCCCTCCAAGATCCTCCAGCTTCAGCGGGGTCTGCAGCCAAGATGGTGTCCGTAACAGTGTGATGGAAGCTCTGCCTGTTTTTTATGTGCGACACACACCTGACACACATGGAAAACAGGGCTTCGATGGCAACTGTGGCCACCATCTTGACTTTTTTGACCACACCCTGCAGGCACCCTTGCCCTGCTCCCTTCTAAGTCTCAAGGGGACGGGATTAATTCAGATCATCTGACCTCCTGAGTTGGATGGCGGAAGGGGTGGGTGAGTTGGTCAGTGGCTCTCCGTCCTGCTGAGAGGTTTATCCGCAGAGGCTTGAAGGGAGCGGTCCAGTGACCCTTCGGGGGCTGCGATCCTGCCTGCCCTCCAGCTTCTCTTGCTCAGGCTAAACACACCAAGTTTCTTCAACTGCCCTTGTAGGGCCTGGCCTCCAAGACCTTCGCCACCTTTGTTGCTCTCCTCCATTTCCCCAACGTGCTCCTTGCGCTGTGGCCACCAGAACGGGAGACCGAGATGCTCAGCACGGAGAGGAACTTTCGCTTCCCCTGATCTCCACATTGTCCCTCTGTTGCTGCAGCCCAAGGTTGCATTGGCTCCTTTGGCCGCTGCAGCACACGGCTGGCTCCCGCTTAACCTGCGGCCTTCCAGGACACCCAGACCCTTCTCAGAAGCCCTACTCCAGACGGTCAAAGGGGTTTCGGCTCCCCGCGGGGACCGGGCTGCCCGGACAGCGCCTCCAATCACAACTTTTAGGGACCGCTTGAAGCTCTTCCGGGCCTTCTCTTGTACAAATCTGCACAAATGGACTTGGGTTTGTTTTTCTCCTCCTCCCCACTTTTGACAACCCAGTATGCCTTTTGGATAGGGTTTGAACCCGCTTGGATCCGTGGCTTGCCGCTGAAAGGCTCGGATACAGCCCGAGGTTTATCATAATGGGAAGCAAGGAGATGCCTAAAATAAGTTTCAGATCTTGCCACCAGAAACGACGGCGCTGCCCACTCCCTGGCAGTCAGAAACCTGCCGGGTCCTTGCAATGAGGCCCATCGCACTCCTAACTGGCCGTAATCTCCCACAAACAGGTTTCCCGTCCCGGGACAAGAGAACTAGCAGACGGGGAGGAGTTCCCTTGTTGCTCGCCCAGCCGCAGATGCGACATAAAACACTAGTTTATAGTATCTGGTAATACTTAAAATTAAATAACGATATCTAATCCTTGTTAGTATCAAGGCGTAATAGGTTGATATAATTTAATATTAACTTACGTTAATATTGATCTTAACCTAAATTAGAAATTAATAATACTTATGAATCAGTACAAATGAATAGTAAATGTTAGGCTACATTTACTGTAGATTATGCTGGTCTCCGACCTTAATAAAGAGTTGATTTTGTTTGTTTGGGAAATTCTAGTATTGCTAAGGGTTACCCTCCCTCTACCAGCAGAAGATGAAGCTCTGGGCGCAGATGTTGGACGTGGGCCCTAGTGGCCCCACCCCTGGATGTGAGTGGGCTTCCTCCACAGGAAGCTTCGGAGGAGGAGACGTGTGTGCCTAACAATATGGCGCTTCTGCTTTTGCGAAATGGAAATAACTGGTTAAGCGGTCATTAACCAGCACGCTTCTGTTTTTTCAAGCGTTTCTGACGGCTGCCTTCACACAACCCGCCGAACCAGGTACAGCCAAGAGCTGGTGGCTTCGTGCCCAAAGCTTGTGCTGCATCACCCTTGGTTCAGCCTGCTGTAGCTAAGTGGGTGGTGCGAACCCAGCTTAGGGTTGAGTGTCTTGCGTGGTGGACCTGGAAACGGGTCCATCTGGGAAGCAGGTTCAGGGAGTTGTGTGAACCCGCGGGGTCTCTCCAAGGCGTTTCCCCATTGCCGGGGTGGGTGAATCAGTCTGGGAACGTGCCTGGCCCAGAGAGGAGACGCTTCAGGGTTCAGCCCAAGGGGACTGAAGTCACATCTGGGTCACCGCCCTGAAGTCCCCACACCATCTCCGCATCTGGGGATGGAGCCATAGAAGGCACCTTGCACCCCTTCACTGCCTCAGA